TGAATATGCAGCATCTCCTTGTAGTTCTACTTTTCATTTCCTCAGTAACTACTGATGTTGAGCTTTTCACATGTTTAGTTGCTATTTGTGTATCTTCTTTAGTGAAGCATCTTCAGTACTTTTGTCCATTTGGGGAGTCTTTATTTGTTTTCTTCTTAGCAAATGTTTTTGTGAAATCTTTATGCACTGTGGGTATTTTTCAGTTTTATTTTTAAAATTTAGGACTATTTCAAACATAGAGAAAATTCCAGATAAGGATATGAACATTCTATAAGGCTGTCAGCCACATTTAATACATACTGACATTCTTGTACTTACTTTGGTTTCATTTTGGAACACGATGTTCTACATAAGATACAAATAAGAGCCACTTCTGACTTCTTGATTCTTCTCTCTTCCTCCAAAAAAAAGAAACAATAAGCTGAACTTGCCATATACCCATTTAAAAATTCTTTTACTATATACCCACCCTGAGTTACCAATGTTAACTGTTACCCCTAAGCTCTTGACTGTTTTTGGAGCTTGTGTTATTGCCCCCATGTTTTGTACCTTAAGATACTTGCTCATGTTGTGTTGTTGAGGTTCCCACATCTTGACACATGTAGCTGACACCATAGTTTATTTTCCCATATATTATTGATGGAAAGTTTGGTAATTTTCTTACATTTTGTGTTATTTTCAGCATTACTGCTCTGATCATTCTTGTGCATTTGCCTCCTACTGCAAGTTTGCAAGTATTTCCCCAGGAATAGAAAGGATGAGTCAGAGGGAGTGCTCATTTCCACTTTACTAAGTAAAATCAAAATGTTCCTAGCCAGTTGAACAGCTTGCCATTCCACCAGCAGTGATGAGAGTTTCTACTGATTCACATTGTCTCCAGTCCTTGCTGCTATCAGACTGCGTAATTTTTGCCAATTGTACAGGCGTGAAATGATGCCTCAGCACCTTCTATGACTCTTGCCTGGGCCTGCGTGTTACTGCTGAGAAGGCGTTTGTGGGTAGGTGGCTGCTGTTTATAGATGAACTACTCTGTTCCTCAGGATCTTTTCAAACTTCTTCTTGTCATTGGGTGTTCTATAGTGTTACTATGATGTATCTAGGCATGTAGTGGATTTAAAAAATATTTCTATTGGTTCAGAGTTCATTGAGCTTCCTGGATCTAAATACTGGTGTCTTCTAACGTGTCTAGAACATCCTCAGGAACTGTCTCCTAAAATATTGACTCTTATCTTCTTTTATTTTCTTTTCTTATTCCAGTAAGATGTGAGCATTCACATTGCCTGCTTTGTTTCTCTGTTTATCTGGTTTTACTCAGGATGACTTCTTCTGCCCCAATTTGCTCTTCAACTGACTATAACATGAGATTTCTCTGTCTACTGTGATAATTAAATTTTATCATTCCTGGAAATTCTTTTTCAAATTTTTATAGACATCATTCTCCATGTTTGTACTGAACATCATTTTTGAGTATGTAAAATTACTCAATAACACAGTTATTTTGGCTTCAGTTTCTGCCAGTTTCACAACTGGGGTAAACAGTGTTGAGGATTCTAAGAAATTAAAATGGAGTTCCCATACAACCAGCAACCCCACCTCACTAAAGGAAGTGAAGTCAGTGTTTTGAAGAGATTTCTGCACTCCTGTGTTTATTGCATGGCAGAGCCTGGAGGACATTATGGTAAGTGAAATAAGCCAGCCACAGAAAGACAAACACCACAGGCACTCACTCACATGGGAAATCTAAAAGAGTTAGGTGCAGAGGAGTAGAGGGTTGAATGATGGTTACCAGGGCCTGGGGGCTAGGGCAAAATACGGAGAGGCTGGGGAAAGGGTACAACATTTCCATGAGACAGGAGGAGTAAAATCAAGAGATTTAATGTACAACATGATTACTACAGTTAATAACAGGGCATTGTATACTTAAAACTGCTAAGAGAGTAGATTTTAAGTGTTCTCACCACGAATGAAAAATAAATAAATAAGGTAGTGCATATATTGTATATCTAATTTTTATGGATCAGTTTTTAGGAAAGAAGAAAGTGCTCTTAGGCACGTGGACATGCTGGCGAGGGAGGAGTTTCACTCTCTGCCTGAAGGTCTGGAATGCCTGTCTGGTTTTCAGGGCCGAGGTGGCTCTTCCTAAACTAAATGCCTGCCTCTAGCACTTCCTTTCACATTTGCTGCAGGGAGTCCTAACCTGTGGTATTTCATGTGTTCAATGTGTCTCCACAGATGATCCTTGAAATACAGTGGAGTTACATCTCATTAAATCTACTGTAAGTCAGAAATATCTTGAAAGTGCATTGATACACCTGTCTACCAAGCATCCCAGCTTAGCTCAGCCTACCTTCAACATGCTCAACATGAACCCGAATTTGGGTAAAACCACCTTACACATAGGCTATTTACAGTAGCATGTTGACTATCTCAGGTGATTATGCAGATGGCATTTTGCAGACGTGATGGTATGCAGAAACAAAACACGAAGAAGCTGGCGACACAGGAAGCTGTAGCTTATCAGTGTTTCCCCTTGGTGATCCTATGGCTGACTCAGAGCTGGAGCTTCCTGCTGCCTCTCATTGTAAGGAGGTAGTACCATATATCGCTGGTCTGACAAAAGATCAAAATTCAAAATTGGCCAGATGGTTTCTCTGCAGCGCCTGTTGTTCTTATAACATGCACCCATCCCCTCTGCTGCTTCTGTGTGATGCATGAAGGCTGGTTTCTTCCTGGCTGCCTTCCTTCCTTGGGACTGCTAGTGTCTGGTCTTCCCCCTTAGTCCTGTGCTCCACTGTGATGTCTGGAGATGGTCTGTCTGATATCTTAGGTCACGCAAAACAGTCCCTTTGTAGGATCATATATGACTTGCTGCTTTATGTATTATATGGTATGTATATCACAAGCTACCCTGATGACTATGGCCTTCTTAAGGCATATTTGCCCAACCACAGACTTGGCTCATATCTTTTGGACCTCAGGAAGAGAGGCTGAGGGGCCCGACTCCAGTGCAGTCCTGTGAGTGCTGGCGAGGGGGCAGTACCGGACCTAGTACATGGGGGCCTAGGCAACTGAGAGACCTCTGTTGAACGGTTTGGCCTCAGCATGGGCAGGGCAGACTTGGGGCACAGGACCCTTATCTCTGGAGCTAAGGCTTGTATTGGCTCATTGCCCAGAGGTACCAGTCAGGGATGGTGTCCTTTAGAGGACAGAGCTTTGAACTGGGAGTCAGCAATTCGTGGTCTCCTCTGGGACCTGTCTGAGGGGATCTGTGTGGCCCCACAGGCCTCAGCACACTCCTGCCAGGTCCTGCTATGCTCTTCAAGTCCATCTTCAGTCATTGCCCCTGTGAGGCCCAACTCTAGCCTAGGCCCGTTCCTTGGTGGAGCAGCCACACGCCCTGCTTCTGGTTCTCGAGGCTCTCCTTCCACTGCTGGCACAGTCGGGTGAGACTGGATCAAGATGCCTGACTCTGAGTACCATTCTCATAGGGTTCCACACTGTACTATTTCTTAGGAACTTTTTCTGATTTCATACTGTCTCAGTCATCTACTGATGCAGAGCAAAGCACGTCAAATACAGTGGCCAGAAATGACAACTTATCCTGCCTCGAGGCTCCTCCCTGGATACCATGTGGGTTCTCTACTTCAGGTGGTTAGGCTGCAAGGCTCAAAGTGGCACTGGTGTTGGCTGGGAGCTGTGGGTGTCAGTAAGGCCATGTGAAGATCTCTACTTGGCCACTCTGGAGCCCTCCTGTATGGTAGCCAGGTTCACATGAAGGGTTACATGAAGAGGAGGCAGAGGCTGCCTGACTCTGAAACCTCACTCACAGTCACCCAGTGTTACTTCTGCCACACTTTTTCACTGGTCAAGAAAAGTCACAGAGCAAGGAGTAAAGATTCTGTATCTTGACAGGTAAAAGGTAAGTTCATGTTATAGAGAAAAGATGCTGTGGAATGGATGTGACCATCTTCGGACACTTAGTCTATTACAGTACTGCTCATCACATGATCACCTGTTTTAATCTTTATGCTCTTTCCCTGAGAAAGGACCATTTGAAATTGTTTATCACCATTTCATCTGTGTTAGCTTTCTGTTGCTGTGACAAAAACCCTGAGCTAAACAACTTACAAGAAGGAAAGGTTTATTTTGGCTCACGATTTCAGATGTCTTCATCCATGGTCTGTTGGATCTACCACCATGGGGTTGTGGCAAGAAACCATATCATGGCAAGGAGTGGGTAGAGGACTAAAGCTGCTCACTTAATGGTAGCTGGGAAGCAGAGAGAGAGAGGGAGGGAGGGAAAGAGAGAGGGAAAGGAAGGGGCCAGTGCCCCAAGAGTCCCTTCAAGGGCCCACCCTCTGGTGATCTCTCTTCCTCCCACTGTGCTCCACCACCTCCCACAGCACCATTGTCTGGGGACCAAGCCTTCAACACAGGACCCTCTGGGGACATTTAAAATTGAATCCATGTACTTACAGGGTAAATGAAAGAATAAATAAAACTTTGTCACTTCATCTTGAGAATCACCTTATACTCTATAACACAACAGAGTTGGATCACATCATTCCATGTGAGATTTCAAGTCTTATTTCTTTTTTTTTTTGGTACTGGAAATCGAGCTCGGGACCTTATGCTTGCCAGGCAGGCGCTTGTGCCACTAAGCTATATCCCTGGCCCTGAGTCTTATTCATAAAATTTTATGCATGTTTTTCAGCTGGGATAGCTCAGCATTGTGATTATGCTCCCTTTAGTATGTGTTCTCAGGTTGGGCAACTATCATCTAATTTTAACCTGAGAGCTCTTAGGAGAAGCCTACTGTTTTTCTGGCACATAGCACCTATTGAATAATCCCATCTCATACATAAGCCAAGAATAATAACCATTTCTCATAATTGAGGGCTTTGTAAACAACACCATAAATGGCTATCCTCTTTGGTCAGGCCAGAAATGGGTCACTTTTAAATTGGCTGTCTTGACAGTAACAGTGATCAAACAGGAGACGCAACTTCCTTTGAACACCATGAAGCATTCTCACAAAGATTTCTTTTATTATTACTACCTCCAGTAGATCCAAGCAGAAAAGGGGTGAGTAATTGTTTGTCTCAAACAGCCTCTTCCTTGGGTACAGTGAGTTGGGCTCTTCTGGTACATTTCAGCTGTACAACTTCAGTTTCCCTGTGGCTCTTGCCATCAGGGTGAGCTGTATGGTTCCCTTGAGAATACATTTTCCATTGCCTCAAAAATGTATTTTTATTTGTTTTAAGAAAGCCACTTAAAAGTACTTTTTATGAGGAATAATATTGATTTGAAAATATGATTTTGACGTAAAATATTTTATTTTTAGAAGAACTGGAATGCTTTCCCTAAATTTATACTTTCTGCTAATGTTAAAAAAATTTATGGGCCTGTTTTTCCCCACAGAGGGAACTTCATCAAAAAAGCTACTTATTCAGGCAAGAAAACACTTCTGTGGTACCACGAACACTGGAAAGTGCATTATGAGGGACTGTGTTGGCCCCTGACAGTAAAGTGGCTTTAATAAAATGTCATTTTCATGTTTTTCAAACTACGGCAGCTGATAGAAAAAGAAGAGAATTCCTTACCTTAGATATTTCATATTTTATTTATTTCAGTGTCAAAATTTGACTTTATAAAAAAGCAAATTAGGAAGAAAAATGACTGACCAATTCCATTTGTGAATACGGGTGCAAAAACAAAAAAATATAAAATATCGGTGAGTTTGAAAAGAAAGTATGCTTAATCAAGTAGGATTTATTCAAAACTATAAAAATGAGTCAACATGCTTAGCAAATGTTATATAAATACATTAAAGAACTATGTAATTATACCAACAGTCTTTTTTCATATTTTAGGGTGTATTTTTATTTACAGAATGAGCTGTTGCATTACAAATGTGATACAATTAACTACATCCATGCAGATGATGCTGATAACTCTACATTCCTGGAAAAGCATATAAATACGTTATGGGATATTCTATGGAGTAAACATTAGAAAGTGATGCAGTAAATATTTGTCAATTTGTTCTATGCCAACATGGCTGTCATTTAAAGCTTAAATACTGATTTCAAGTATGCCCAGTGTTATAGTTTGTCTGGATGTCCCCTCAAAGCCTCACGCAGTTATGGGAGCTGGGCTTTTCAGAGGTGGCTGAATCTAGAACGTAGGATTGATTCATGGAGTAATGCTAGGATTAAGGGTGCTGGGATTAAGTGTGGGTGATTGCTAGATCAATTCACTGATTGGATTGGCACTGTCCCAGTCTCGGTAGACTGGATACAGCAAAAGGGACAGAAAGAGGCTTATCTTGCTTTCCTGCTTGTTACTTTTGCTGTCTTCCACTGCCATGAACTGTTGCTCTCTGCCATGTGCCACCCTGCTTTGTAGCCAGCCGATTATGAACCAAAACTTCCACAAACTGTGAGCTGAATAAATCTTTCCTCTCTTGACTTGTGAGTGTTGGATATTTTGTCTCAGCAATGAGGAAATTAACTGAGATACCCTATGAAATAGTTCTAATAAAATATTGGAAAAATGTTGTTATAAACAAGATTGGTACATTAAATATAGACACTGTGTCCTACCAAGAGCTTTAAAAATAACACTTGAGTAATTTTTAGCTATTTGTTACAAAAACTAAAAATAGGACTAAAAGGAAGTTACTAAAAATATAACGAAGTAGTTTATAAAAATATATATTATGAAATCTTAACCA